CTTATATTCCAGCAGGGACGGCCAAGGAATATACACAGGACTGTAAGAAACGCATGATAAAATTCAATAATAGGTACAACTGAAATGGGCTGGGGATAGAGTCTTCAGGCATGCCGGGGCAAGGCAGCAGCGCAGCTGGGGGGCCGGGCCCACGGCTGGGGCGTGCAGGGTCCCAACACAGCGACGGCACGTATTCTCAACCTTGGCGAGCGGCTGTCTTGGAGACTCTCAAAAGTTCACTGCATCTTACTTTCTTTTCTTGCTGCCATACCCAGCTGCCAGCCCCCGCAAGCCTGCTTCTCCTCCTCCTAAGGAATTGCTACTTTACCCCAGCGGGGCAGGACTCCCGGTCTAAGACCCGGTGACTCTTCACTTCTCTTATTTTCACCTCCGACCCCGGGGAGGGCGAGCCTTAGGGGGAAGGAGCAATGGTCATTTCCAAGAAAAATGGTTAATGTTTTAGAAAAAGGAGCTGGGAGTACCGCTTCAGAGGGTGGAAGTCACATGAATGTGGCAGAGTCCTGTGATGATCCGGAGCACGCGTCTGAATTTAGGGTTTGGGTACAAGAATTTCAGCAACCTCAGAATATCCCTACAATGCAAATACCCCCAAAGGAGTGAATGACGAATGTAATCAGGGTTTCATGCATAAGAAATCACTATGAACATAAGTTATTGTTGTAGGAAAATGTTAATCCTACAAAAATAAAATTGTGATTGATCATACTCAAACTCCAACACAGGTCAAGTGTAGAAAGGTTCTACCTAGCAGAAAAAAAAAACAACAACAACAAAAACACCAAAACCAAACCAAAACAAAAAAACCCAACAACTTTCTTTTTCATCAATTTTTGGGCACATGTTACAATTAAACGGAGTTTCAAGTTCAGAATGATGGAAAACCCCTAACTCTTCTGAGTGGACGCGGGAGAGGAAGGTGTGGACGAAAGCAAAACTGACAGCAATCTTGGTGAACGGGACCAGGTTTTCAGAGCTGTTGTCTCCCTGCTGCTGGGGAAATGGGTTGAACAGAGCCAGAAGTGGTGTTTTAAAATAGGCTTTTGTGAAACTGGTCATTTTAAGTACGCTATTCATTAGTTTGTTCATTCAATAAACCTGTGGCCCACTGACCACGGTCCAGTCCCATTTATGACCCTTGAAGCATCTTTACAGAATAACTTGAATGTTATCTGATTGCACATGTGATATATTCTCAATGCATAAAATGGAAAACACGGAAACGCACAATGAAAAGGGAAAAGACGCTGCCCCTGGCTCACAGGGGCTTTCTCTCTCTCTCAAGTAAATAAATAAATCTTAAAAAATTAAATGATGCCAAACATAGCTATGGTTTGTGCTTCTTCCTTATTCCCGACCTGCGCCCTTCCCAGATCAGGGCGGGGACCCCAACGGGGTTGATGGCCATCCCCCTCTCCCCCCAGCCGGCTCTTCCTCTCTTTTCTGGTCTTTTTCCCCTGATGTCCCGCCATTTCTATAGCTGCAAGACCTGTCGGAAGGGGTCTTTAAATTCTCGTTTTCACGAGGCCAGTGGCAAAATGCTAATTGCACAAACGTCCTCTCTCGGGAATGTAGCCTGTGCATCACCCGCAGGCCCCGACCTTCATCCGGGACTGGTTCTCCCCAGCACAATGCAAACTCACAACCTAATAATTTAATTCTTAAATTTGTGATTATTTTCAGATTACAGAAGTGATCTCTCCTATGTAGAAAATATAGGCAGCTATAGGGTCAAATAGGAAAAACATCATTTATAATCCTGCCATGCAGAGAATTTCCTTCCAGGATTTCATGCGAACAAGATAGATTCAGTGCTGGGGGACGCAGCTTACAATGTGGCTTTTCCCTCCATTCAGTCTGCAATTTTTACTTATTTACTTATTTATTCGTATTTTAGAGAGAGGCCAGGCAGCTCCTCCGGCGGATTCGAGAAGGAGTCTGATTTTCCCCTCAGGGATGGGTTATCCTACCAAACGCCTGGGCCTCATGCTTTGTCAGCAAGCTGAGGAGCTGACACAGGAATGGGAGTGTTTTTAATTCTGATTAAAATGTTCTTCTCAGGGGTGCCTGGGGGGCTCAGTTGTTAAGCGTCTGCCTTCCGCTCAGGTCATGATCTTAGGGTCCTGGGATGGAGCCCCGCGTCGGGCTCCCAGCTCCGCGGGGAGTCTGCTTCTCCCTCTTCCCCTCCCCCGTGCTCGTGCTCGCTCTCTCTTTCTCCTTCTCTTTCACAAAAATAAATAAAATCTTTAAAAAAATAAATAAAATGCACTTCTCAGAACCTGATCCTCGAGAAACACCACCCCCTTTCTCTTCTTCTCTGTGTCCTTGCATTCTGGCTACTGAGGTTCGAGTTTTGGGGAGAAGCCCTCATTTTCCTGTTTCTCAGGCTTGAGACCATGACAAGCCTGACAGTTCCCAGCTGAGCTGCCAGATAAGCCGTCCTCCCATGGGCGAATGCTGATCCCCACAGGGTTTGGAGGTGAGAGAATCCTTAGAGAATCACATTTTATCAACCAAGTACCTTTCTTCCTTTATTACAATCAAACAAAAACTGAAACCACATTCACACTAGAGTCCTCCCAGTTTTGGGGAACCTAGTGAACAAAAGGCCTTTGACCTGATACTCAGAAGGCAGAGAGGGGCACTTCCAGGGGATGAGGGATCTGCCCACACAAGGAGAGAAGAGGAGCTGATGTTCACAGTGGACCCCATTCAGGACCAGCTGGGCTTCTCAGCCTGAGGCCTTCAGTGGAATGGGGGAGACAGTTATGCCCCAAACTAAGACATCTTGGCTACAGTTAACTAGACATTTTTCAGTATTTGAAGAACATTATAATCTGGTGAATCTAATTGTTCTTATTCAGGGATCCCCTTAGGCATAGTTATTAGTGTATTTTCAAACTGTTTTCTCAGTGGGCATCATCAACTATAAATGATCTTTCTGTTAATCATAGAATCACAACATTTTTTAGAGCAAGTGAACTCTTAGAAATTAACCCCAGTTTCTCATTTTGCAGATGAGGAAACTGGACCCCCCAGAGGTTTATTGCCTTGACCTGGACCAAGTTCCCCAGTTAATGTCGTCGTCCTTCCTGCACGTGCCCAGAATGCCCAACCACAGCCGACACTATTGACGATGCACTTCCCACAACGTTTGGGCCCCGGGAGTCTGCGTCCCCAGGTCCCTTGTCCTCCCACTGTTCTCCTGGCCAGCTCCTCTCTCTCCCCCTGTCCCTGGTCTTCAGTCTTGGGGGCAGAGCCTGCCCTGGCCTTGCCTCTGCTCTCCTCGAGCCTCCAACAGCCTGGCCCAGTCTCTTCCACTCCTGGTCTGGGGGTGCAGTGACCATCTGGGGCTCAGCAGGGGGCCTCCTGCCTTTGGGCATCTGGTCGACCGCACTGCAGAGTACCACACCTGAGACTCTCTCTGACTTCTAGCGGCGTCGGCCCTGCTCATTCTTCCGCATCTGCAGAACACTATTGCTCCTTCGGCCGGCTGGAAATCAGAGCGTCGGCCACCCAGCTGCTCCTCCCTTATCCGAACCTCGTTATCTCTGTCACCCACGTTCTATCCTTCATGCAGTTGGAGTGCTTGATTTTCTTCATTTCGATTACTTTCCAGCTTCTGTGGGTAAGGCCTAGACAGGCACCGTCCTCTTGCTTTCTCCGTTTGTTTCCCGGGGTTGTTGCAACACCATCACCACAGACTTGGTGGCTCCAACCAGCAGCCACAATTCTCATGGAGTCAGAGGCCAGAAGTCCAACCCGTGACTCTCGGGACTAAGACCCGGGTTTCTGCAGGCCTGCATTCCTCCGGAGGCTCCGGGCACCTTCTTGTCTTGTCCAGCCTCCAGCGGCCCCTGTGTTCCTTGGCACGTGGCCCCTCCTCCGTCTTCAAAGAGCGCCGCCTCCTCAAGCCTCTCCCTCTCCCTCCTGCTCTGGTGGTGACGTCCTATCCCAGACTCTGACCTTAAAGGACAGGAGTGATTATATGGGGCCCACCCAGGTGGTCCAGGATAACCTCCCATCTCAAGAACCCTGACTTACTTAATCAATTTAAAGTCACTCTGCCTGGTGCAGTGACATATTCGGGGGGTTTGGGGCTCAGCCTGTGGGTGTCCCTGGGGACTATTACTCTGCTGATGACAATTTTTATGCACAATGAAAATGTAAAACACAGTGGCGTAGACTTTGCTGTGTGTAATTGGGTTACTAATGTTTTCTTAAATCGCCTCTCCCTCTCCCAGGGTATTTATATGCTTCTGCCAGAATCAGCTTCTGCAACCCACGAGTTCTGTCACGGTAAACGTGGACAGTTCCTCTTGTTTATTGCACCAAGTCCAACCAAGTCTGAGTGTCTGAGGCCACCCCCTACATTCAGCCTCATCCCACACACTCCTGGAGACATGGGCTGTCCTGCGGGCTGCCCTCCACATAGCTCCCCTGCTTGGTGGTTCCCTTCAGAGATGTCCTTTCTCTCACTCTGCAGGAGCATGCCTCAGCTCGCACTTCAGCTCACGGCCTCCTCGGTGTCTCCTCCCCGAGGAATACCCTGGTCAGCACCGTGCCGTCCTCATGCTGATGGTCCCTTTGTCTCTGAGACTCTACAGCCCAGGTGTGCCCGAGGTTCCTAGAGACTGGGGACTGCGCCTCCCATCTGTCCTCAGCCCTCAGTGGCCTGCTCAATACCAGCCCATGAGATTGCTGATCCGTATCCAAGGGGTTAGAAAATTGGTCTTCATCCAGTTGAAAATTTCAAGACCAACATTCGTTCTTATTTGTTTGCACTATTTAGAAAGTTCTTGTTGGCAGAATTCTGATTCAATAATGACCAGGTGATGAAATGTTTACTATGGCTTTACATAATGCAGTAAATGTCTGTGCCTCACACGAAGATTTTTAGGTAAAACGATAATGAGATTTTGCCGAGAAGTATCTGAAAGATGCACCTGTTAGCTGCTTGTCATCCGTAATAGGACTGTTCGATGTTGGAGGTGGACTCCTGTGGTCCCCTGGTGGGTCCCCTGGGGCCGGCAAGCAGGTGAGTCCCGAGACCCTGGCTGGCGGATTCGTGAAAGAGTAGTGGGTGTTGGACTCTGTCTCACTGTGACCCCCACCACTGTGTCACAGACTGGGGCCCTCTGAGAATTTAGACCTAAAAGGGGAAGTAAAAACTGAGTGCAAATCCTATTTAATATGGACTTGCCCCAGATCAAATAATTCTGTGAAGGGGGCCAGCTCAGATAGGGATTTCTTCTTCTGTGCTGTACTCTCTTGAAGGTGGCTGAATCCAGGCCGCATACCAGGGAGAGATTCACCAGAGGACATGAATGCATTCATAAGGTCTCCGTTTTGCTCTCCGGAAAAGTGTGACGCTTCTATTTGTTGCAATATTTTTGAATGCATTTATTGGTCTTGCATATACATAGTAGGTGAAGTAATTACATTTTATTTTATATTTACATTTTATATTAAAAGTGTTGTGATTTAAAATCTCATAGGAAAAAACTTAAATTTAATAAGTAAGTGAACATATAGATGCCCTTTATATTGACATTTTTCTCATTCTTCTTTTCATGGGTATGCTCTCAAAACTGATTTTAAAAATAATTTTTGTTTACCATATTTATTACCATATTTACCATAATATTTACCATTACCAATATTTACCAATTAAATACCATTACCAATAAAAATTACCATTACTAATATTTACCATAATAAAGAAATTTAAAGTCTGATCTATTATAATTAAGATTTTCTTTTTATCAAATCGTAAGTGCACAGAAGCAAGAGGTTCTATGGGATTCATAATAAAAATATCAGTGCCTTACCCCCCCACCCCGTACTTTTCCCTCCCCACAAGAAACCATTTTACTTTTTTTTTTTAAATCTTAGCTGTTGCTGTTTTGGTATTTACGAAGTTGGTGTTGATGTTTTTTTCCTCCCACCTTTTATTTTGAAATATTTCAAACCCACGGAGAAGATGAAGAATAATAATGCATCCAGTGCTCATGGAGCTTCACCTCATTCCATCCCCGCTCCCGGCTGGGCTGCGTGCTCTCTCTCTGCACACGTGCGTGTGCTTGCCGGCCCGTGCGGCACGTGGGAATCACTGAGGACTCCCTCTTGCCCCTAAGGACAAGGACTTTCTCCTACATCACCCACACGAGCATCACCCTGGGGAAGCTTGAGCAGACACAGTTCAGTGCTCGAAGATGCCGCCTGTGTTCGCCTCCCCAGGGCTTTCTCTCTCCTTCTCTGCCTTCATGTGTGATTCGGGTCCAGGATCCATCAGACCCCGCAGATCACATGCACTTCTCTGGTGTCCTTTTCTCTTTTACCTTAGGGCCTCCCACCACGTCAGCTCCTCTCCCTTTTCCTCTCTTCCCCATACCCACGTGTCTGTGGGTTTCAGGGTGTTGTTTTGCAGAAATGTCCTCTGTGTAGATCTGTCTTATTGTTTCCTCATGACAAATATAACATTTTGGGTTCTGTTTTCTACTAAGTTGGGAAATCCAAAGACATGTTCCTCACATCAACTACTCCTTTCTTAAAAATAGGTGTTCTCTGTGTGTAGTATTTTTAATTTAATATTTAATCTTTATAATAATAAAGATAAAAATAATCTTTATAATCATAAAATATTTTGATATCAAATAGGTACAATTATCAAAAATACAGTTCAGTTCCTCTTTCAATAGGACACCGCTGTGTTCAGTTAGAGACATCCTACGAGTGAAGGAGTAAGAAACAATTCATCAAGGGTAGGCAGGTCAGCAAGCCTCGTCTTACATAAACTTAGACCTCATTTGTGTGTAACTTTGAGGCTCATCATTAGAGAAATGGACTAAATTTGCAAGGCACCCGAGGGGTTCTGTTAACCTCGTATGAGGGTTTTTCTGTAGCTGCTCTATGGTCAACAGGGGCTCGAAATCCCAGCCAGACCCCTAAAGCTCTGCAGACAGATGCTACCGAAGACAAATAGCTCCTGCTGGGGACACACGCTCTGCCCCCACCCCTGTCCCCTGTCCCTCTCTGTGATGCATCTGCTCCTCAGCAGGTGTCTGCTCCACATCGGACCCCTCACTGCTCTGCAGGCTGTGGGACTCGGAACAAGGAGATGCTCCCCTGGGGGACCACGCTGTTTTTCGGGCGTAAAAGCCTGGGTTGTTTGTTAAAAGGCTTTGTGATTTCACAAACCAATAAACAGTGAAATGAAAATGGGCATCAGTCCCTGTTGTTTAGGAGTGGCAGAAAGCCACAGACAGTTGTGGCCACAGGATCCAGGATTGAGAAGAAGTAAGACTCGGTCTCAGAGCGGGGCCGCCTGCTCCCGGGCCCCAGACAGTCCTGGTCCCACACTGTGATCTCTCCGCCCAAGAACCTTCAGGGTTAAGGAGCCTGCTCCGGGCTTCCTGCTGGACGTCACATGGCCGCCACTCACCTGGACAGGGGTGTCCCGTTTGGGTCTTCCCAGGTGGAGCCTCCTCCCTCCCTTTCTCTCGGCCTCGCAGTCTGTTCACAATCTCCCTGCTCCTCTCATGGATCTTCTGCAAAAACAGAGCAACACAAAATAGGATAAAGTATAGTGACGGCTAGCAATCGTTGGACAATTTTCCCTGTTCAGAAAAAACACAGTTACTGTGTAAAGCATCCTTTTCTCCCGCAGCTGCTTTTCAACAATCAGATCTTCGGTGTACAGGACGCTTTCAGAACTGTGGGTCTGACCAGTTTGTGTGTGTTCTGTCTCACTTCCTAGCTGGAAGGGCACTGCCTTTCCCCACGTTCAGCTGTCACGGAGCGTTGCGCAGAGGATGCGGTAAGCAGCAGGCCACTCAGGACATTCAGAGTCAGCTCTGTAAACCAAAGGAAACGTGGAGTTTCGAGTGCACTAAAATGTGCCACATCCTTCGACACCACCTGCCCAGCAAGAGGAGGGCTCCCAGGTGCACCTGCTTCCACCGTGCCCTGTGCTTGCTGGGGATGGTTGGGAAAGGCAGCTTTGTGTGTAATGACGTGGAGCCTGGCTGCCCCTGCATGTGTCCACACCACAGGCTCCCAGGGCAGAGCCCACAGCACAGACCTGAGTGTGGCCGGACACACTCCTGGACGGGGGCCAAAGGGCTGCCGGCTGAGCTGGGTTCTACTCGTCGACGAAGTTGCACCTGCTCTGAAGAGAACCACCAGGCTTTGTCTGCAAGCCCCAGCTCCCAACACACCCCGAAACAGTGGCACAAATCACTTCTCTATTAGTTGATCCCACTTTTTTTTTTACTTCAAAGTTTGCTTGGAAATACAATAAGAAATTAGGCAATTCTTGCACATTTGGGGCTGGGGTTGTTGGGATGGACAATGAGGTGCTGGTTCTCTCCATTCGTCCCGTGGTGTCACAGCTTTCCCTATGGTGACCCCAGGGGTTTGGGACAAGTCCCACCTTGGGTTTTCCCAGTCCTAGGGTCAAGGGCAAATTATATAGTTACCTGTATTTAATTTAGATTCTGTAGCTTTTATTTTTTAACCATAAACCTTCATATTGCTTTTTATTAATGTGTTTTTTGGTAGAATAAACTTATAAAAGAAAGATTTTCAGCTTTAATGCCTATGGGTCCTGCTCCTGGGCTCCCAGGGGAGCTGTCCTTTAACTTTTCCCAAGGTCAGAATGACGCGACCAAACTTCAAAGCATGGGCTCTGTTTCTGACCCGAGCACACATTGTACATCTATTTAGTAGACAAATAACCTTTAAAAAAAAAAAAAAAACATTTCAAATGTAAAGATAAGAGTAAAACCTCTTTTAAGTTCCCATGAGACCAGAGCCAGGCAGCCTTGCACATATGAAAGGCATAAGATAAAGCCTGTAACTTTCTGGAATGTTCTTCGTCATGATGATTTGTAACTCTTTGGGTGAAAAAAACACATATAACCCTGTATTAACTGTTCTTTTCCAGAGCTCTCTGTTCTCTGTGAAGATGGTGTACCTTAGGCAGTTGTCCTCACTGGGGCTCAAATAAAGCTTTCTTTCTTCTAGAAATTCTAACAGGCTTATTCAATTTGCGTTGACTAAACTCAAGTGATACTTACTGAGAAACTTTAGGAATTTGAAGGAGAATATGATGTGAAGTGTCTCCACTCTCCCAGAGGAAAAGCACAGGACGTCAGACCACACACACAGAAGAGTCATTACATTGGGCCCAGAAAAGGGAGAGCCGCATAGCTTTGTGTCAGGAATCGATGCTCTTCTCCACGGACGTATGGCAGCCCCCCGACCTCCACTGTTCCCGGCCCCACCTGAATCCCGCACGCACACCGGGGCTTCTCAGGAAGGTGCCTCACGTGTGAAGGCACAGGACAAGAGCATTCCGTGCCTTTAGTTGACTATTTTGTTGAAGAACATGCACAGAGAGGATCTACTGTTGTTAACGTTGTTCGGGAATTAAATATATTCATCATTCAAGTACCGACAATTCTTAACTTCAAAACCACAAATCCTGAGGCTAAGATTGGAAAGAACAAATGCTGTCAGGTGTTCTGCCTTTGAATTGGGGGAAGTATTTTGGGGCTGGCGTAGCCCTACAGCACATCACCAAGTCAGGTTTAGAGCGGGCGGGGGCTTTACACCATCTTGTACCTGAGTGACTTGGGACCCCCTACAAGTTTTGCCCCATCCACTCAGTGCTCATTGCCTATTGCACACATGTCACCTGCAGAGCTGGTCAATGGACCCATGTCACGGCAGGTTCAGATAGGCCGAAACCTAATCGGAAACCTCTGAGTCTACCATAAAGGCCTCTGTGCATCTGAAGGCTGCGGAGGACGGGGAGGGAGTCCGTGTGGACAGCGCGTCGCCGGGCTCCGGGGCTCCCCCAGTGCAGTGGGCTTCCTGGCCTCCCCAGCACGTACAGAGCTGCAGGTTCCTCCAGAACCACTGAGCGAGGGTGTGTCCGGCCTCCAGGAGCTCCTCTGCACATCCTGCTTCATGTGGCTGGGTCCCCTCTGCAGGGGACTCTTCTCCCGGGCCAGGGGTCCCAGGGATCCCAGGACTATACCACGGACAGCCTGAATATCAGACAGAGCCCTGGGCACTTGGCCACCCCGGCCGACAAAGGCCGGTCCAGGAGAGCAGGGGCTGATTAGCAGATGTCCAGGGAGGAGCACCAGCAGGCCCCAGCGCAGCTGGACCCCCGTCCCGCAGCACGGCGTTGGCCAGGAGCTCCAGGGTCTTACACGGTGTAGAAGCGTTCGTGGGCAGACTTCCTGAATATGTGATTACTACGTCCACGGGCCCATCGATGAGAAAGGACGGTTAACATGTAACACTGAACACTGATTCTCCCACTTCTTCATTGTCTTCATTATCACAAAATCATGCAGTTAATTTAGATGGAGAGGCATTTTACAGTTGGTACTTCTTCAAGAATATGCGTTAAGAAAAATGAGTTCTTACTATATACTGTCTATTGAAAACTTGATATTAGGCACACTTTTTCTGGTCAGTTGGGAGGGGTTTTGCCATTTCTAATTTGCCTATGTGGGTAGGTAATTTCCACGGATGACGAGCTTACTGTGTTCGGATCACGTATTGGTAAGTACGTAATTACAACCTAAGCTTCTGAAGTCGTCGGGCCTCCTGGCGAGTTGGGGAGCATGGAAGGGCAACGCCCCTTTAAGGCAGGGAGTCCGTTAGAACCAGATGGGGTGGGGGACACACTGGAGGGACAGGACTGCAGTGGGGGGGGGCCGCTGCTCACTGGTGGGCTGAAGAGTGAGGGATCGAGGACCCGGCATGACGCCCCTATGTCAGAGAAATGGGGGAGAAGGGCCTCCTTCAGGGTGATGAAGTCAAGCCAACTTCCCAGTGAGACCTCAGGACGACCCACCGGAGGACTGAATGGTGGAAATACCAGGTTATTCACTAGTCTTTCCTCTCAGTACCTTTGATTGTCTTTCGTCAAGAGATACAGGCTTTGGACCACCCTTCTGTGGTCACACTGCTCATCCTCAGGCCTGCAGAGTCTGAAGTGTGTGAGCAGGTGCGTTCCACTCATGCGCAGGTGCTGTGTTGTTATAATTAGAGGTGTCTTCCCAAGTCCACCCCCCTCCCCAGAGTTGTCTGTGTGCCGGAAAGTCTTTGATTTGCTTCTGGGTCAGACCTCAACCTCGTTTCGATAAAGACCCTGTCCCCCTCACATGCAGAGGAAGTGGAAGGCCGCGAGCCTCCCGGCACGGTGGAGAAGCCGCTCCCCGGCCCATGTCTCTGGGTTCAAAGCTGCGAGCGGGCACAAGAGCAGGAAAATGGGCGCTTCTATAGATGTTTGGGGAGGTGTTGGGAGCACAGTGGGGGCAGCTCCCGGCCTCTCTGGGAGCCAGGCCTACAGGGCGGCCTCCCCAGTGGCCCCACTCCACCCCTGGAGCTGTTGGGAAAGCGGTATTTTCAGCACAGGACATGGGTCTGTTTGGGGTTTTTTTGGGGGATGCGGGCTGGGGACTGCTCAGCAAGGCCGGTGAAGGGGCTGGGTCCCCAGGTTTCCCGGTGGGACAACCCTGATCACATTGGCCACAGCTCTGAGGGCCCATTTTTTAGGAGTTAAAGCAGTTTCTCTTGGTTGCCAAGGAGAAGCCATGTGTGGCCTAGTCAGGCCCTTTGTCTGTGGCTCCTGACCCCGAGATGACCTTTTCCTGGGGTCAGTTTTGTCACTGTAGGGACAGAGGGCTGTGACAAAGAACTGTCTCTCGGGTTCCCTTCACAGTGGAGGGTGGGGGGCCCAGGCCGCTCCTGATGGCCTCCTTCTTCCCCAACAGGATGCTGACCGCCGAGGAGCCCACGGAGCCCGCAGAGACCGGCTGCCCGGAGGAGGGTGGTGGGCCTGGGGCCGACCCCGAGGACGTAGCCGTGCTCTCCGGGGAGGACGGCCAGCCTGAGCAGATGTTGGTGAGTGGCCCTGCTGGGGACCGGACGGGGCTTGTCCTTGGTCTCACCTGCCACTGTCCCCATCCTGCGCCTGAGACCGGCATTGAGATTCCCCCGGCTTCCTCCTCTGGCCAGATGCTTTAGCATGGATGTTGATGCTTGTCTGCCCTCTAGGAAGGGTATACAGTTCTTCTCCTCCTGCAGCTCTGTGTCTTGGTAGATGAGAGACAGGATGGGGAGTGTAAGGAGACTTGAGTATCTCAGCCAACTTCCCTAATCCAAGAAGAGGCACGAGACTGGGCGAACTTGGTTAGAGGAAAATTAGAAGGTGCACGTGACTTCAATCGTGAGGCCACAGTTCTGGAGCGCCCTCAGCCTCCTCACCCAACCCCGGAGGGCAGGGTCCACTTCTCTCCACCCGCTTCCATGAAAGCCTCCACGTGTCCCCCTCCCTTGGTGCCATGTGTCCAGCAGCCGTGGCCACGCAGTGCAAGACCCTACCTCCCATCACAACCCCACTGATCCTGGAAACACAGCATCAAATGAAGGGTCCCACAGGAAAGCTGGTCCCCTGGGTTTAAAGTGCCGTGGCTTCAGCTAATTTCTGAACGGTTGACAAAATAATCCATTTCAATGGAACACAGGTTTTTCCTGTGTTTCTGGGAATTCGGAGGAAATTCAGTGCAGGAGCACTGGCAGTAACTGGATTTTCTGAGTGCCAGACCCTCCCTGAGCCTGTGAGGTGGATCCTCAGGAATCTGCAAGGGCTGTTATGATTCCACAGTGATAGTAAAGACAAGGGGTGTTGGCAAAGCAGCACAGAGCAGATGCGGCCCCAGGTCTCGGGTTATTTGACTCCCCAGGGCAGCTGAGGAGCTCAGAGGCCCCTGGGGACACAGACACGTGAATGAGCGAACAGAGCCTCAACACAGTCTCAGGCCGACCCCAGCAAGGGTGAAGGCCCTGTGTGACCCCACATGTCGCATGGCGGGGGACAGAGGACAGTTTCTATTCAACTGGAAACACTGGCTCAGCGGGTTAGGCGGCATTTGTGAGGGTCTCCTCAAATAGGATCCGGGTTCAGGCTGTGGACAGTGCAAAGCTCTTTCCAAGTCACGGATCATGATTGCCCGGGAAGTGTGGGGCGGGGGTCCTGTGATGACCGCAAGCAACACTGTCTCAGCGGGAGCCGGAAACCCTTCCCGGGGGTGCTGCTCCATCCCCGAGCCCCGAGCCGGGGTCACCTCTGTCCCCGACGCCTCACCAGCGGTGTGCCTCCAGCCCCTCTGTGACCTCGGAGCCCGAGATGCCCCTTCTCCTGTTTCCTCCCGCCCCTCGCCCAAGGTCAGCTTCGTCTGCCCTTGGGAGGCGTGAGTGGGCAGCACACCAGTCCTTGCTCTGGGGGGCCCTACACGGTCCTGTCGACGGCAGACAGAATGTGAACGAACACCGTAAACGGTGATTCACAGACCACACCAGAGAGTGACAAACGCTTTCCAAGAAACGGGGGAGAAACACCAGCTCTGGAGGTGACCTCTCTGTGCGAATTTAGAGTCCCCAGCCTGTGAGTCACAGACTCGGGCTGCTGACTGACCTGCTGGGCCTCCGTTCGCTAGGAGGAGATCACTTCCCTCAAAGGCTGGTTTCAGAATTACGCCAGGGAACTTGGGAAGCTGGCGCCAGTGTTTCTCACACGGCAGATGCTGAGTACACAGTGTTTTCATGTGGCTGATGCGGCCGAGCCGCGAGTGTGCAAGACGCTCTTGCACCTTCCCCGGGCAAGCATCAGAGCGGCGCTCCTGGCCCCAAGCCCTGCCGCCCGTGTGTCCGCGCGTCGGGGGCCGGGGGTCTGCCCCCCGTGCCAGGGCTGCACCAGATGGCAAGGAGCCCCCTACAGACGGCCTGGTCGCGCCACTTTGCACTGGAGGCTCACCGCCCTCCCCCTACTGGCCTCTCCCCTGCATCTCCACCCCAAAACCCGAGTGCAGACTCCCGGTGGGAAAGTGACCAACATGGGTCCCAGGTCCCTGGGGCCATGCCAGTCTTCACAAACTGGGCATTATTAGGATAATTCCTGGGGAGGATATGAATTTAATTTAAAATGAAAATGCAGTTTCTTTCCCACTGTTTGTAGAATAAACAGAATAATGCAGTCACTAATTTCTTCTCAAGTTGTGTTATTTTCACTTTTAATAATAAATTTGCAATGTGATTCTAATTATTTTTCAGAGATAATCTCTGTGAGAAGGAAATACTATTTTTTTAGTTTTTTTTTTAAAGATTTTATTTATTTATTTGACAGAAAAAGAACACAAGCAGGGGAAGCAAGAGAGGGAGAAGCAGACTCCCCCACTGAGCAGGGAGCCCGATGCGGGGCTCGATCCCAGGACCCTGGGATCATGACCTGAGCCGAAGGCAGACACTTAACAGACTGAGCCGCCCAGGCGTCCCATTTTTTTTGAGTTTTATTAACTGATTTTCTTTATTCTAAGGTTTTCTGCTAAACCGTTTCTCACATAGGCAGATGGACACCTTCCCTCCCGAACACAACCTGATACTTATATACAAAGATTTCCTTTGTTTTGCCCACTAGCCAGTTTCTCTTCTATGTGAACGTCTGTTGGGTACACTAACATGAAAGCCTGTGTGACGCTACAGTGGACGCAGTGAATACAGAGGGACAGCCAGCCCTGACTCTGAGTCTCCCGTCCTCCGTTCTGTGCCCCACACTTGGCCCAGGTCCTGAGGTCATTCTGGCATCATTCTGGGGAAGAAACGGAGGCCCAGAGAGGTGAGGTGCCTCACCTGAGGTCACACAGTGGGGGAATGGTGAAGCCAGGGTTATAACCTCCTCCGAATCATTTCAAACGCTGGCTCTCAACTCCCTGGGCTGCTGCCCCCTCAGGGTAAGATTAGGAAAGAAATGACAGTTCGCAGCCTCTTTTTGCAAAGGAAGTAATTCACGAACCATCTTACTGCTTATATTATGCGGAGTAGCTCCTACGGGGCGCTGCTCAATGAAAGTGGATCAGGGTGTCACAGCCGTATTTGTGTCCTCAGCTGTCGGGGGCCCCGACCCCCTCCCAGAAATGCCGGGTCTCCCCTGGCAACGGGCAGGAGGGAGCTGCGGGAGAGGCTCGCGAGCCGTTGGGGCCGCGCCGTCTGAGAGCTTGTCTGTCCTTCTCTCCCCCACCCTGTGTCCCCCGTGCCCCCCGTGCTCCCTGGAACCAGCAGCTGCAGCAGCAGGTGGCCCAGCTGCACGAGGCGTTCAGGAGCCAGGAGTCCCGGTGGGCCGCGGCTCAGCGCCAACTCCAGAGCCAGATAGACGCTCTCTCGCGACAGAACCAGGAGCTCCGGGATGGACTGAAGGCCCTGGGGCTGCCGCTGCCGGGAGCCAGGGAGGCAGACGCAGCCGCGCTGGGCACCAGAAGGAAGCCGGACGCTCTGGTATAGAAGGCCTTCTCGTTTTCCCTAAGGTGGCGTCACAGTAACTGTGGGCGCGGGGTCGTGGCGCCGGCGGCGACGCTCGCCCTCCTGTCCGTGAACCCACTGCACTCTCACAAGTGGGGGCCAGCAAGCTCGGGCGCCCCAGCAGCCGCAGGCGCCGGGCATCCCTGTTGGCCCCGGGTGGTGACCCGGGTGCTAGCCCCACGGACGGTCAAGCGGCTGTGACCCCGAGCGCCTGGATTTGGGGCCCCGCTCTCTGATGCCAGAGGCGTGCACAGAACCCCAGGGCCGCTCTGTTCACGCACCGGGGCGGCTGGGTGGGGACGAGATGCGACCGCCTTGCCCCACCTCAGAGAGTCCGTATTCAGGAACCAAGCAGCAGGACGACTGGCTTGCACGTCTGGGCTGTGCGCGGGCCGCAGGGCCGAGGGACCGTGCTGGAGAGGCTGTGGCCAGGGCGCCGCCGCCTCGTCTGTCCTCTGGGTCCTGGGCGTGCGTCTGAGCAACTCAGATCATCACAGCTTTGTGCACAGGTGTCGGCAGGAAACCATGTCAGTCCCGGCAAAATATACGTGGGCTATTTTCTAGTGGATTCGGGAAAGTCCTAATATTTATCTGCACTTACTGTGCGAACTTTTAAGTCTATAGTTCAAGGAGTTCGGATATTTCAGCTATGACACAATGATTCACACACTCACACTCACACGCACACTCACATTCACACTCACACACACTCACACTCACACGCGCGCACACACTCACACTCAAACTCACACACACTCACTCACACGCACACACTCTCACTCACATTCACACACACTCACACTCACACACGCTCACACTCACACACACTCACACTCACACGACACTCATCTGAGCTCATGTGCTGATGAATTTCCAATCATCTGTCGACTCTGCGCACAGCGCTGGTCACAGGCTGGTGGGGTTATTTATAAGGACAGCATCTGCTCTAAAAGGGTACACAAGATTTGAAGGAAACAGGATGGCTACGCGCCCCACGTCAGGTACGCGTGGGCACCTCGGCATGCAGACGCAACTGTAGGGACAGGGTACCACACAGCCAGTGACACACGAGAGCAAGACCGAGGATTAGCCGCTCTGCAAATGGGACGAAAGGCATCCCAGTCCTCTCCCCTGTCCACGTCCTGTCCTCCCATCCGAGGGCTGAGCGCTGAGTAACAAAGTCCCGCATCCCAACGCAACGATCATGCTGTTTCCAGAGTTTGCCTCAGAGCAGGGAAGCTTGAGATTTTGCATTTCAAATCTTCGATAAATTGTGAGAGACAACACTAAAAATAGGGTCACATTTTCTTCTTTCTTTAATACTTTCCCAGTTAAGACACATAATCTAAGGAAATAAATGTGGGTGTTGTTTATTTTGTTGCCTTTGGGAGCCTGGGGTATTTTGAAATAGTGACCAAGCATGAGAATCAACCCATGTTTGGGATGTGCTGTGTTCTGTGAGCATCCTCGACAGGTTGGGGGGAGAAGCCAGCCCGAGACCCCTATTTGTTCCTAGCACACTGCAATTGTTGTTGACTGGTTAAATTTTGAATTTATCTTATAGTTACTATACCTTCAAAGATACGGACATTTCCTCTGGATTTTCTTTGTGATCAATTGCCTTTTAGGTGTCACGATCTGCTTTTGGGAAAATGTTACCACTGTCAACCGATGAAGAAACATTAGTGAAACACGCAGGCCACAGAAGTCATAGTGCTACTGTCTTAGGACAAGGACCGTCATCTAAACATCTCCCTTCTTCCCAGGTGAACCTCAGTGTTTATGATCTTTAAAAGGAAGCAGAGATCCGGCACCCAAACTCATGCAGCCCACCAGCATCTCACTGAGAAATCCTGCCTCCCCTAATGAGCAATCCTTATTATCCTGTCCTTGCAAACTCAGGGATCCAGTCCTTGCAAACTCAGGGACCCAGTCCTTGCAAACTCAGGGATCCAGACCTTGCAAACTCAGGGATCCAGACCTTGCAAACTCAGGGATCCAGGCCTTGCAAACTCAGGGTTTTAATCCTTGCAAACTTAGGGATCCAGTCCTTGCAAAACAGCGTTCTAATCCTTGCAAAACAGCGTTCTAATCCTTGCAAACTCAGGGATCCAGTCCTTGCAAACTCAGGGGTCCAGTCTGGCAGGTGGTATCCTCAGCATACTCACCACAGAGAGTCTGGCTGGGAGCTGAGCTCAGGTCAGGGCTAGCACCGAGGGCTGTGTGCTTTCTTTCCATTCATGCAGCCTAAGGCAGGGATTTTTTTTTAATTAGTTTCAGAGGTAGAATTTAGTGATTCATCAGTTGCATACAACACCCAGTGCTCATTACATCACGTGCCCTCCTTAATGCCCATCACCCAGTTGACCCATCCCCCCACCTGCCTCCCTTCCAGCAACCCTCAGTTTGTTTCCTATGATTAAGAGTCTCTTATGGTTTGTCTCCCTCTCTGATTTCCAGTTTTATTTTTCCTTCCCTTCCCCTTTGTTCATTCATCTATTTTGTTTCTTAAATTCCACACATGAAATTGTCTTTCTCTGATTGACTTATTTCGGTCAGCATAATACCCTCTAGTTCCATCCATGTCATTGCAAATTGCAAAATTTCATTTTTTTTGATGGCTGAGTAATATTCCACTGTATATATGGGCTACCTCTTCTTTATCCATTCATCTGTTGAAGGACATCTTGGCTCTTTCCGCAGTTTGGCTATTGTGGACATTGCTGCTACATTTGTATCTTTGGGGTAAATACCCAGTAGTGAATTTGCTGGGTTGTAGGGTTGTTCTATTTTTAACTTTTTGAGGAACCTCCACACTGTTTTCCACAGTGGCTGCACCGGCTTGCATTCCCACCAACAGTGCAGGAGAGTTCCCCTTTCTCAGCATCCTCACCAACATCTGTCGTTTCATGACTTGTTAATTTTAGCCATTCTGACTGGTGTGAGGGGGTATCTCACTGTGGTTTTGATTTGCATTTCCCTGATGATGAGTGGTGTTGAGCATTTTTTCATGTGTCTGCTGGCCATCTGGATGTCTTCTTTGGAGAAATGTCTGTTCATGTTTTCTGCCCGTTTCTTGACTGGATTTTTTGTTTTTTGGGGGGTGTTGAGCTTGATAAGGCAGGGATTTTAAGTAGCACATCTTTTCATGTCCTTTGGCTCCTGTGTCCCATGGCTTTAAAGCCGTGGTGTTTGCTGGGGTCACTGCTGTGGCTTGTCTTGCTGTTTCCACATGGCTTTGTTTTGGGGCCTCAGTGTAGGATGTTGTTTGATCTCTATGGCATTTCCTTGTTCAGGTGAGCTCCTCTTTAGCATATATTGGCAGCCAGCATGCTGGTGACCACCCCAGCTTTGCATCGTCCTCATACTTGGGAAGCCCCTCTCTGTCCTCAACCGGCATTGGGTAACAGGGTTAATGTGGACCGAGAAGACCCCCAACTCATCAAGATGACCTAATGTCCTGACATCCTTTCCCAACGCGACTGCTGAGCGGACAGTATTTCACTCCTGGAAGGAGAGTCTGGAATCTGCTCTAACCCAAGCATTTATTGCAAGTGGGAAAAGCTACTTTTTGGATCATGCGAGCAGAGATTCTGAAGTCCCAGGATGAACTGCATTACCCCCTGTCCTCTGAGATGCAACCTTGTCCTCTGTTCCCACACTGACCTGAATTAGTGACATGTACACAGTATAATTGCTTCGTAAGTGAATGCATGAGTGAATGCGTCCCTGGCTTAGCCATATCTCAAAACCACCAATTTTTGAATCCTGCAAAGGGTAGAAAAATTCTTCTTAGACATTTTCAAGTTCAGTTTTGGGCTATTTATTTTGCTGTGATGGACAACCTTTTGTACGGATCAATCATAACTTTCCTGAAATCCCACAAGAGCATAGGCTTCCAAATGAGAAATGGGATACCCCCAGAGTTCTGCTTTGTAGGATGTCAGACAGAGCTGTACTGATCTAGCTTCCGTCACAGCCAGCACAATATGTTTACTGATACTTTTGGGTAAAGTGACTGTTATTAATGTGAAAGCGCCCCCCCCCCCCATTTGTTTCCAGCCAGTGAGGATGAAGATAGAAAGAACTGAGTCAGGGGAAACAAGATCATGTGAAGATGGAGATGAAACTCTTTCTGGAAGTCTTCAGGACAGAAGCGCAATGCCTCCCTCCCAGGGGATGCCCTCTGAGGAGAGCCCAGCCGCGTTTGTGGATGGACAGGTGACACTTGGACAACTGTGCTAATTTATACTGGCTATCTTTACAATGTCCATTTCAGTAGCATTCCACTTAGATCTGACAACAACACTCAATTTATGACTCAAAACAGTTTTGTTTATTTACAGTAATTGTATGGCCATAGATTAAAGGCGTTTCTCTGGATTAGTCTTAATGCTAGAGAAGCAAACTAATGGAGTTGACGGCCGTTTGCTCTGCCATGCTCTGTGTATTTCTGCATTTGAAAAAGTGGCTTACCTGGTGGCGCTGAGCACAGTGCTTTTGCTCTAGTCCTGGGACGTTTTTGGGAAATGTTGACAGTTGAAAATGGCTTTCCGCAGCACGCAGCTTTTGATCTGAAGTCACAGGCTCAGGTTTTGTGACTGTCGTTGCTCCAGGCCACACGCTGGTCCTCCCGACGTCTGCAAGAACCCAGCGGCCGAAACCCGCCAGAGCCCACCATGGATGGTGTCAGGCTCAAGGAGGACCGCCCAGCCGCTGAGGAAAACGGTGAGCACCTCACGGGGAGTTTCCTTCCTATTTGCTGCTTGCTTGAAGGTGTGAGCTTTTATTACCCGTGCCCACCCAAAATCTTACCATGGCAAGTGCACACAATGTCCGCCTTTTTGAGTGTCTTTTCTGATTCCCTTGCTGGGTCCTTGTCTGTGTGTCTTGCCAGCACTCCCCAAACCCCAGTGAACGCCCACCCAGGGCTGGTTCCCAGAGGGCTGGCATCAGCCTTTGCCTTTTCTCTTGGGCAGGCTCGCCTGCCTGCACCTTCTTGATGCTGCTTTCTGGGACTCTGGGAGGCAGATGGCAGACCCCCCCACCAAGCCTCTGCTGCCCAGCAAACTCATTATCATGCAGATAAGGTCTCCAGTTCCTCTCTGGGCTAGGAGCAGCTGAAAGGCAGAGACAGCATCTTCCCATCTTCATCTCCTGAACTTAACACTTGAAATAGAGTGACATCCAATAAATATTTATTGAATATATTCATCGGATAGTTCATGTTTCTTACAAGATCAAATGTCACTTGTTGCTGACTAACCCTCTATTTGTAAAGTAATCTCATAAAAAAAGAGAAGGTGTTCACCGTTGGTTTAAATTGGACTTAGAAATTGCATTAGGAGAGGTGCCTGGGTGGCTTAATTGTTAAGCGTCAGCCTTTGGCTCAGGTCATGATCCCAGGGTCCTGGGATCGAGCCCCGCATCGGGCTCCCTGCTCGGTGGGAAGCCTGCTTCTCCTTCTCCCTCTCCCACTCCCCCTGCTTGTGTTCCTGCTCTCTCTGTGTCTCTGTCAAAAAAATAAACAAAATCTTTAAAAAAATAAAAAAAAGAAATTGCATTAGGATAATAGAATTTTTAAGATGTGTGTATGCTGTCCTTTAAAACTCAATTTCTTTGCTTTTTCAGGCATGCGTTCACTGCCTTGCATGGGTCCTGAGGGCGGACTTCTCACCCCAGAGCAGACTGATGGGTCCGCCTGCTCCCCGCTGGGCACTGCCGAGCCACAGGTGGGTGAGGTTGAGGCCTGCACCAGCCCCCCAGGACTGACACTGTCGTGCCCGCCCATCTCCTTGGGAAGAGCAGAGCACTAACCTGCTTCCAAATGCCCCTACTTTCTGGGGATGGTCAGCCTTCCCAATAAAGAGCAACATTTTCCCCCCTAGATTCTGAAGTTGCATTTAGCACCTAGTCAAAATAAGATCGATATTTTTACATCACTGAAGAGTTCCCAAATCAAACTTTTATATCGTTTTTATTTATAATATTTCATTACAATTAATAGAATCAAAGGCACATATAGCAAAAATACTTCTAAGCCCTAGCTAGTTGTCCACTTATTATGTGTTATATTTAATAACAAATATCAAAGAAATGAAATAATTTTCTCCATGGGAGAAAATCTGGGATGTAAACTTATTTATGATGTAAAAGTAGGCAACCGGTGGGAAAATGTGAAAATACAGGTGCCCTGTATCTCCCGTTCTCCCAAGAGAAGCCCGCATCTGTTTCGCCCTTTCCAACATTATGCGTGGGGTGCTGAGTGGTAACATTTTCCTCTGGGCTTTGTTTTCTTTGGAATTGGGCTGTCGTGGCTACTGAACGCGCCCCCCACCTCAGTGCCTTAGAACGCGAGTGCGCAAGCTCTCGGGGTGCTTTCCCCACCAGCGCATGACTTCATGAGGTGCACTGTTGTCCCCACGAGCATCCTGGCCCAGGTCTGACTAACGAGGAGGCCGGGGACATAAACCGTCACGGGGACATGCAGTGTGGCCCGACGTGCACCCATCGCCGCCGTGTGCGGACCCAGTGGGCAGGGCCGTGGGGTGTCGGGGTGACCAGCTTCCTCCAGCCCAGAGCTGCAGATTGCACGGAGACCTCGAGGGACCAGGGTTGTTCTCTTCCTGCAGAATCCTCCTGTAGAGCCAGGACCTTCCCACAGGGACGCCGAGATAAAGCAGGGGGACAAAGAAGAAGAAACGCGGCCCCCCGCCTGCGAGGTAGGCAGACGCCCCCATTTCCTAGGCTGGGCTCTTGTGTGATTTGCACTTGTGCTCTGTGCAGGTGCTCGCGGGCTCGGACCCGGGGGCGGGGCAAGCAGCCCTCGGAGGGGACAAATGTAGCGTCCTTGGCTGCCGGTCATTCCCAGTAAATAAAGCCACACACGTCCCAACAGGAAAGACATGTTTTAAACCCGATTTGCCTCTTGTTGCCTCTGTCCCGGCCTCCACATTTTAGCTCTCGGGGAGCCCTCCGGGCCCTGAAGGGCGCACCCCCAGGTGGAGGCTGTCTCAGGAAGCCACGCACAAGGTGTGTGTTGCAGGCACAGACCTGGTGTCTCCGACGCACCCAGGGACGCAGCGGCACAACGCTCGCAACAGACAGGCCCGCACCTGGCTTCATAGCCATCTTTTTAAAGATTTATTGATTTATTTATTTGAGGGGCGAGGGGCAGAGGGGGGATCTTGAGCAGGCTCCATGCTCAGCGTGGAGCCCAACGTGGGGCTCGATCTCACGACCCTGAGATCACGACCTGAGCCGAAATCAAGAGTTGGGCACTAACCGATTGAAACCCCCAGGCGCCCCCCACCAGCCATCATTTTGAGCCAGTTCCGCTGGACTGTGGAGTCCTCCTCATTCTTGTTTGTGAGCTATAGCCTATGAAAAGGTGGACCTGTGCTCTTATTAGCCGAGAAAACGTTTGAGTAAACGAACAACAAGGAATGCTACTTATGGGGACAGCTAGAATTCATTTAAATGCTTTTTTCTTAGCGTAGTTGTTATATAGGTTTCTCGGCAGGGGCAGGGGAGGAACCATGTAATTTAAAGACCTTATCTTACCGTCTCAGCAGGTAGGTCTATGAGAAGGAAGTGATACTCCTTAAATATTTCTTGAACAAGCACGTGGATGAATCAATCACTCAATCTTAGGACACCTCAAAGGCTGTGGGTGCAAGAATAAGCAGCTCCCTTTCTCAGCCTCGAAGCATCATGCACCTGTTGGCCCCATGAGCCCCCATGAGCCCCCATTCTCCCCATTAGCCACCACCCTCTCGTCTCTCTTGCCTTAAGTCTATCTCTTGAGTGTCTTACACTGGATATGTTGAAATTCCTTGCTTGCGTATTTGCTCATGTCTTCCTTTTTATAAGGTAAACAAAAAATTATAGCTAATTTTAATATTTTTCTTAATGTGGACTATTTATTTATTTATTTTAAAGATTTTATTTATTTGACAGAGAGAGATAGCGAGGGCAGGAACACAAGCAGGGGGAGAGGGAGAGGGAGAAGCAGGGACCCCGATGTGGGGCTCGATCCCAGGACCCTGGGATCCTGACCTGAGCCGAAGGCAGATGCTTAATGACTGAGCCACCCAGGCGCCCCTTAATGTGGACCATTTAAAAACATTACTTGTGCTTTTTCATTTCTGAGAAGTAATTGTGTCTTCAAACCTCGTCAGAGTTTTTACTGTGGTTTTATTGTGCAGTTAATCTTCTAGGACTGAATTGAACACAACCTCGCTTCACTTCTCTGGTTGGTTTGGGACCCGGGCAAATGAGGTCTTGGTTCAAACCCCAAACCGATGGTTGTTGCATCATGAGCATGTGGTATACACCGCTGACTTTTGCTTGATGGATCACCGAAGCGGCTTTGAGAAGCCCGGCTTTAGCTATTAGTTCCTTCATCTTTCCTCAGTTGAATTAACTCCTGCATTCCTGAGCGAAGGTCAAGAGTAACAAGGTCACACGGTAATTAATAACAGCACATTTTACCATTTGGATTTTTCAGTTGTACAGATATTAACTCCCCAGAGCTTGAGCTTCCTTCTGTCAGTTTTTTTTCCCTTCTGTTAATAGTTACATGAATAATATTTTCAAACCTCCTAGTTCATCATTATGCCTCTGAACGTACACGCTTTTGCCGACAGTTAATGGAAATCAGTGAATCTTCAGGTCAGGGTGAGTGGCATAGGGATCAAAACAAAAGGATGGAAAGGAAAGAAAAATGTACAAATAGTAATTTTTATGTAGTAATGACTGCAGTTTGTATGGTCCAGGATTCCCAAATTCACCAAATTCAATGACCTTGGATTATCTAGACTGACAACTAATAACTTGATAACATACGCAAGTTTGCATAACATGAGCTTAAGAGAAACAGACGTTTGAGGGCAAATCATAAAACGTCCATTATTCACAATGAGATTCAGGGATGAGGTGAGGTTTGGGGCTGACTGATTTAGTGAATATTTCTGGAGATACAACACTTGCTTTCAACGGTGCTGTGCAGGCAATAGATAGAAGGATTCTGAACGGAAGAAGAGTAATGAAACCATGAGAATCACGCTTTAAGTCCTCTTTCACGTTGGAACTTTTGTGTTTCCATGAAGGTGGCTCAGGCACTTGGCAATGGCCATGAAGCCATCACCTTCTTGAAGGGCGCCGGCAAGGACAGGGGGGCTGGCAAGAAGACCACCGTCCTGCGGTTTTTAAATGGGGACGTGAAGAAGATCCTGCCAGATCAGAGAGTGGTGAGTACGGCCTCCATACTTGCCCTTTTTTTTTTTTTT